GTGCGATTGGCACAGGACAGAGCGGAGTTTAGGGCTGTTGTACATAGGGTCGCTATGAGTCGCAGGCGACTTGACGGCACATAACAACAACAACATATTATAAATTAGAATAAATAACAAATGTTAATATAATTTATATTCCCAGTACTGTGGCGAGTGCTGCTATACTCTTATAGAATCACCATAAACAGATTCTTAACTGTAAGAAGTTTACAGAAATTAGAGGAGGGTACTTGAAAGATTAATTGCTGTAATCAGGTGACATAAACCCTCTGAGATTCTGAAGTTTGTCCCAGGAGCGTTAGTATAAAGGAAACACTATGGAAAACACTGAAAGGACCAAAAAAATCCAACATCATTCAGCTAAAACAGATCATCCAGCTGGAGAAAAAGGTTGAAACTATTGGGTGGAGAAGATGGATGTATTGAATGTTAACCCTCTGCCATATGGAGCTGCTCTCTGAGTCCAGCTTGACCCTCACTCTAGACAACACTCGAGTTCTGCTTTATCAGATCTACCTGCCACAGAGCTCAGAGCAGAAGCTAACTCAGTAACCTCAGAGAAACCATGAATCTGTGACATCTGAGGTAGGATTTTATTTATTCCTGTATTTTAAAACTCCCTTGTTTCATGAGTGCATACTTCCAGGATAAATAAGTCAATGATATAAATAGCTGTCCCACCATAATAGATAGTGGCTAATGCAAGAGAAAATGTCAATGATAGGAATAACTACAGGTCCAGAGAAGATGACATCAATTTACATGAAAGACAGCATAATGTAGCAATTGTTTCTTTGTGAATAACAAGTTGGCCCTTTTGAGATAGGAATCTTATTATTGTAAAAGATGTGTTTAAAGAGTACAAATGAAATTCTGTCATAAAAGGGAAAAATAAAAATTCGTAAAATCTTTAAGAAAGACAGTGAGGGCACTCCCTCTCCCCAAAGCATCCTCCGTGTGTACAGTACTTTTCAGGGTCTCTGAAACCATCTGTTTCCACCAACCCCGTGCTTCACTGAGGCTCTCGGCCACAGTCAGCCTTTGGAGATACTTAGATAACTGGCTCTGTGCTCCTGTTACTCATCTTCGGACGCTGACTCTTCATCTTCTTTATCGATACTCTCTTCTAGAGGCTCCTCATCTGAGGCTTCCGGTGCTTCCTCCTCTGGAACCTTCTCTGGAGGTGGTCGTTCAGGTGCACCATGGCGTTTATTTATACACGCACACAAGCAGTAGATGAATAGACAGAATAATATCAAGAAAATGAATGGAAGTAGGAATAGTAGCAACTCTAAGTAGGGTTTTATGTCCAGTTGCCCAGATGGCTTTCCCTGTTCTTCACTAGGGGAACCACTGTCTACGCTACCCCCTGTGCCTTTTTCTCGGCAGTCAGGAGGGGCAAAGCCATCATCACAGTGGCAGTGTTTTAAATTGTTGCAAACTCCTTTCCCATTACACTGCACGCTCGTATCACAGTCGTAGTTGAGTACAGTGTAATCAGTGCAGACGTTATTCATGCAGACTTTTTCGGGTGCACAGAAAGTCCCGTTGTACACGTCTCCTTCATCGGGGATGTCACTCTGAGTATAGGTGTCCATGCTGAAGCACCAGTCATCCGTATGAGGGATCTGGATCACTGTATAGCGAGGTCTCACTGTCAGTATTTCAATGTTTGTGCATACAATTTTCCCACAGAACATATTCTCATTTGAACATGGAACATAGTTTGGGTTGGTTTGAGTGGGTCGGCCACAGTTTCCAAACCGATCCCCTTTGCTATTCATTGAAACATAGCATTCTGCTGGGGCCGACCTTGATGGGTGCCCAAAAATATCCATGCACTGATTGTCAGGGCTCTTACATTTTCCCCCCAGACAGTAGTACACTCTTCCACAGATGGTGCCATCAAGCTTGAATGTGTTTTCGGGGCATTTTTCAGATCGACCATTACAGTACTCTGCGAGGTCACACTCATCTGCTGAGGGACGACATACGTGGCCCTTTGGTTTAAATTTGCAGGCATCACAGCACACACCGTAACTGCACTGTGCTTTCTCCTTCAGTTTACACGAGGGTTCGCAGCAGGGGTGACTGTCACACGTGGGCCCACAGTCACACTCCTCGGTCTCCTCCACCACACCGTTCCCACAGGTGGAAGACCTCCGCTGTCGAGCTACAGGCCCTGGCTTGTTAAACAGACACTCCCCTTGGAGTTCATGGAGAAACCGGGAGAAGGCCTGAGAGCTGCAGTTACTGAAGCCCCCTTCTTTTGTGATGTTCTCATGCATGAGGCAGAAGTACTTCTCTTTACAAATGCAGGCTGCATGGTCGTGCTGAATCCCCAAGTTGTGCCCCAGCTCGTGGGCCATGAGTGCGGCAAACAGCAGGACATCGTCATGATGGAAGGCCTCAACTGCTGCCGCAAAGCCGCTGGAACAGGCCCCGCTGAGAAATGCCTGTCCCGTGGTCTGGCCGGGCTGATGCCCAACAATCATGTGGGCAACATCGTGCTGCACACGACTCGCGAGCTCCTGTTGCCTCCAGCTGTTGAAGTTGCTGAGTGTCCCCTGCAGGTCCACCGGGACCTCTATGAGGTCTCCCTCCGTCCAGATCTCCATTCCAGCCAGCACCACCTCTGTGTTTATTGCCTTAGTGAAGATGTTGGCCAGAGCAATGGTGCCCATCACTCCCTGGATGGTCTCGTTGATGTTACTGCCCCACAGTTGGAACCGCCGGTGGTTCACCACAACAAACATCTCCACATACTTGGGCTGTGACCACAAGGAAGACAGGATCTTCGGATGTGGAGGCTTCCTGCCCCCTTGTTGCTGGTGGATGGGCACCCCTTGACTCACCCTGGAGGTCACACCACAGGAGACAGGAGCTGGCTGTGCCATGGTGTACAGCTTGTGTTCAAACTTTTCTGAAGACTCCAGGGGCTCTATGCCATAGAACTGTTCCCCCTTAATCAGAATGCCCTTGAGGCCTGAACAGGTGCTCACAGACACAAAAGAGCCTGGGACTCCTTCGATGTAGCCTTCAGAGTAGCAGTCATGTGAGAGGGAAGGCGTTTCCTGCCCCAGGATCCCATTGTGATAGCTGAAGACTGGAAAGTTACTCACAAAATAGCCTTTCTTCACCTTCAGGTGAATCACCTGTTTCTGGCCCTGTATGGATAGCGTGTAGGATGCCCTTCCCACTGAGCCCTCCCTTCCCTCAAATGTCAGCCTCTGGGGAATGAGGATTTCAGAGAAATATGCTGATCCCTGGTCACAGTCCACGCTGGGCAGAAGAGTCACCAACAGCCACACGATCCCCACCCTGACACGGGAAGGCCTGGACACTCGCCCCAGTCTCCAGGTTCTCTTCTGAGGTGCCCAAGTCTGAACCTTTATCTCCCTGTCGTCCACAGCCGCTCTGGTTTTCTGTAGGGAAGGCGGGATGGAGGCAGAGGGTCTTGCTGGCATGGAGGCTGCAGCTGACGTGGGCCCCACCGGACCCGTTGGTGACGTAGGACTTGTGTCCATCAACAGGTCTGCCTAGCTCGCCACCTTTCAGAGATTGAAGTAGTGGTCCCACATGTATGCTCGATGCTTCCAGGCAACAACTGCCTCCCTCGGAGAGTTACGGGTTCTTGCTGTGTGGCTTCCCAGTCTGTCTTCTCTCCTGTTGAGAAAGTTTCCTTGCTCTGCAACCTGTTGCTTCTACAACATCCACTCAGTGCTGCTTGGCTAAGCTCCTCTTGATGGCATGGGGAGCTGTGTCATGAAACCACTACAGACTCTACTGCAGAGCTGTCCCTTGAGAGAAATACTCTTCATACTTGGCCAGTCAGGCCTCATGGAACACCCCTCCCCCTCCTGCTGTCAGTTGCTCACCTAACTCCAAAATGTTCCAGACCCAGGGGCATGGAGATCAATTTCCAGGGCCCACTCCATTGCCTATTTTCTCTTTCTAAAACTCTTGCTCTTGACCTATGGCCCATCTCAACCCAGGATGGTCTTTTTCTATTATGTTTTTGTTTTACCGGGTCTATACTCATCTTAGGATAACCTTATGCAACTATTGAATCCTAAAATTATGCTGTCATTACCAAATATCTTAAAAATTTCTCATGTCAGACTATTATAGTACATGCTGGGGAGAAAAATCGTCAACAGCCACATATTTCTCAAGCTGACAGAGGAGGTTCCTGGCACTAGCCCTACCCTTTAGTCCCCTCTGTGTGCAGTGTCCTCTGTTGTTCAGTGTTACATCATCAGTCCTGTAAGAGGGCTTGACTTTGAGCAGCTAAGCATCAGTGATTCCTCACATGGTCATGCATGCTGCATTGTCTTTGTTACTGTGTGCAGTTTCTTTGTTAATAGCTTCATGCCTACTATCTAAAAAATCTTTAGAAAAACGGCTTCTAACTGCACATTCATGAACCAGCATTTTCTTTTTGTTACATTTCACTTGTCAGTTTGCTCTCCTAATTCCTTCTTTACTGAGTAAGATAGATATCATTAAAGGAAAGTTTCACATGTGAACCTGAGGTGAATCCCCCTGCATTTTTATTTTCTTCCTGTTATAGCTGCTGAAGGCATATGGGTGGTGCAGATGGCTAAGTGCTGGGAATACTAACTAAGGTTGGTTCCCACCTACCCATAGATGCCTCAAGAAAGAATTTAAGTGAACTTCCAAAGATTCAAATATGGAACAAGCAGAAATTCTGTGGATTCTCTCTCCTGTGCACATATAAGATTACAGTGGGTCAGAATTTACTCACAGATAGCCACTCAGAACATAGTGGATTAATCATCCATGCCCTGCAAGCATCTTATCCCTTTCAGTTTCTCTTCACTACTGTGATGTCTGTACTCAATTTATCTTCAATATTTCTTTCTCCATTAGACCCCCACTTTACACGTTGCTGTCATCTTTATAAAACTCCTTTGTCTAAGAGCCCTCTCTTGTCATTATCCAGTGTCTTACTTTTGCCTGATAAGGAAGGTCTTTGAAAGAATGTGTGTAGCAGCTGGCATCATCACCAGTTTTCTCCTTTAAAATTTTTTCATTATGAAAACCAAATATTTGTTTGGTTTAGCCCAAGTAGCATAGTGTATAACCTATTAGACTGCTTAACAAACCCATTGGTAATTCAAACCCACCGGTAGTTTCATGGAGAGAAATGAGAAACCTTCTGAAACCATCTGTTGCTGTTGCTGTTGCTTTGTACGGTGGCATTGGAACTGACTCATAACTGATCCTCCAGCTGGTTTTCAGAGACACTAAATGACAGCGGAGGAGATACACATGGATCTCTCATGGAGCAGCTAGTGGATTCAAGCCACATGCTGCTGGGTTGACATCACAGCTCCTGACTGCTAAAGTCGAGGTGTAAAGCTTTACAGTCTCAGAAGTCCAGTGGAGGGCTCCTGTGAGTGAAGCCCGATGCAAGCCGGTGAGTATATTCTGCTCCCGCTATCTGTCCTCAACCACAAAAGTACATAAATTACTTACATGTTTAATATTAAATATAGAACAAGTCAACAATTTAAATCCTATGTATACATTTTGGTTGATTACTAGAAAGGGCAGTTCTCTGTAACCATAGTTGGGACCAAGTGCTCTGCAGTTCCTGTTGGTTCCACAGCAGTCACTCCTGTCAGTGCCGATCACCAGACCCGCCCCACCAGAGAGCCTCCTGATCTCCTTGTTCATTTCCTTAATGGAAAACTTTTCCTCACATTTCCTTACATATCTGTCTCCAAATATGTCTAGCACAGCAGTAGACTTTCCCCTACCAACCATTAACTACAGTACATTTAAATTGCGGAGTTTTTACATATGGTGCCTGTACTTCCATATTTCATGTTCATTTCCTCTTGTTTGTTGTGGGAAGCTGTGGTTCATTCCTTTCCATTGCTATGCATAAGGATTTTTCTGTGTGTATTGATCAGATGTTACCACCCACTCAATTATATGAGAACACATGATTCCTCTTCTTTGGGAGATAAAATTAATACTGCTGCAATTGACATACACACATAGTCCATGTGATCTTTGTGCAAGTATACATGACGTTCTAGGGTATAGGTTTAGAGGTAGAATTGCAACATCATAGGAGGGATAGGACAGTAGTTTAACTCCAAAGTAAAAGCTTGTTTTTCTAGTGCCACAGCATTTTACATCCCCAAAGAACTGTTGTTGAACGCCTCCGTGTCCATTATGATGCCTCATCACCTGAGATGGCAGAGTGAAACTGCCTCATAGGGTTTCCTGGCTAATTTTTCTTTTATTTTGAATTTTATTTACTTTGTTGTTGTTGAAAATATATCCATGAAAACATGTAACAATTCCACAGTTTCTACCTGTACAGTTCAGTAAAACTGATTATATTGATCTCTTCAGCCATTCACATCTTGTTTTATTTTGCTGTTTCATCCTCAGTACCATGAACTTCCTGCCCCCTAAAGATCCTTTTGAACTTTTCAAGTTGTTTTCAATTTGAACTCGTACAGGTATATCTTAAAAGAATGTAATGGTCAAGGCAGATATTTTTTGCTACCTAATCTAAATTTAACGATGACGACAAAGAGAGAGCTATGTTGGTCTCGTGTAAAGGAAGCTATACTACCAAGCCAAAGGTGGGTGATTTTCATCTATGGCCCTCGGCCAGGTTCAAATTGTTTTCCTGTCAAACATTCTTCTAGGTGGTATAGCACTGGTCTGTGCGTTGCTGTACAGAGGTAACTCGTGGTTGCTGTGATGCTGAAGACTGTGACAGTGATGTGCCAGTCGTGGTAATGGGCACCCATGGTGGACAGTGTTGGCTGGAGCTTCCCGACTAAATCAAGCCTGGAAGCAGGAGCGGCATCCACTTCCGAAATGGCTTGCCTCCGGAAACTCTATGTACAAACAGTGCTCAGGCCGTTCGTTCATAGGGTCGCTATGAGTCATCCACGACTCAACGGCATCAAACAACAACAATCTAAACTTATGCTGACTTTTTTTTTAAAATATGGAACGAATTTGCTTCACGAATTTGCGTGTCATCCTTGCGCAGGGGCCATGCTAATCTTCTCTGTATCGTTCCAATTTTAGTATATGTGCTGCCGAAGCGAGCACTTACGTTGACTTTTAAGATTTCACAGGATATTTTTGGGTTAAGATTTTGCACATTATATATTCAGATAGTAGCTTTAGAGATCATTCACCCTTCTTAGCTCCAGAAAGTCTAGAGTTCATGGCAATTAATAATTTCTATATTTTCAGTTAAGATTCTTCTGTGACGTCTTTGATCAACGTGCTCAGTCATGATGTTCAGATTAGATCTGTTTCTTCTGGCAGAGGTGGTGCTTATTCATAGAGCTGCTAGCCACATATTGTGTATCTATCCTTTATCTCTGACTCTTAGTTTCCCTCTGTTTTTCCAGGTGAATAGAGAAATTGCTGTGTTTTACATGTTTGTTTGCAAGCCTTCTAAACCTCAGGCACTACTGAATGAACTAGATGAGAACAGAAGTACTGAATGTTACTGGGTGCGTTAACTGAAATGTCCCATCAAACTCTGAAGGAACTCAGTCCCGTGAGGTATAGAGTTAGACACGAGCAGCCTCAGAACCTGTGCTTCTTGTTGTTGTTGTAAATGTGTCAGAAACATCTGCCCATTTAACTTTTTGCATGTGTACAGTTTACTGTCGGAAATGCATGTGATATCAAAGATATTGTTCTATAATTTCCACATTCCATTGGCTCACCCTTCTTGGGAATGGGAACAAATATGGACCTCTTCCAGTCCATTGGCCAGACAGCTGTTCTCCAGATTACCTGGCATGGACTGGTGAGTGTATCCAAGGCTACATCTGTTAATTGAAACAAGTCGATTGGTATCCCATTGATTGCTGGGGCCTTATTTTTTTGCCAGTGCCTTCAATGCAGCTTCCACTTCTTCTGTCATTACCATTAGCTCCTGTTCATATGGAACTTCCTGAAATTTTTCAGTGTCACTCCTTCTGGTACAGTGACTCTGTTTCCCTCCATCTCCTTTTGATGCTTTCTGATTCATTCAATATATTGTCCATAGCATCTTTCAGCGTTGCAACATGAGGCCTAAATTTGTTTTTCAGTTCTTTCAGCTTGAGAAATGTGAGTTCTTCCCTTTTTATTCCTCAATTCCAGCTCTCTGCACATTTCATTATGATACTTTGCTTTGTCCTCCTGAGCTGCCCTTCGGAATCATCTGTTCAGCTCTTTCACGTCAACATGTTTTCCTTTAGTCTTGGCTTCACAACACTCCAGTGCAATCCCTAGAGTCTCTTCTGACATCCATTTTTATTTTATTTTTTCTTCCTCCTCTGTTTTTATAATGAATTTTTGCTTTCTTCATGGATGATATCCTTGATATCATCCCACAACTCATCTGATCTTCTATCATTGGTGTTTAGTGCCTCAGACCTATTCTTAAGATGATCATGAAATTCAG